GGTACAGTGTGTGTGAGTGCTCACATGGTAGTCAGTGCTCACATGATACAGTGTGTGTCAGTGCTCACATGGTACAGTGTGTCTGTGCTCACATGGTACAGAATGTGTCAGTGCTCACATGGTACAGTGTGTGTCAGTGCTCACATGGTACAGTGTGTCTGTGCTCACATGGTATTCAGTGTTCACATGGTACAGTGTGTGTCAGTGTTCACATGGTACAGTGAGTGTCAGTGTTCACATGGTAGTCAGTGCTCACATGGTACAGTGTGTGTCAGTGCTCACATGGTACAGAATGTGTCAGTGCTCACATGGTACAGTGTGTGTCAGTGCTCACATGGTACAGTGTGTGTCAGTGTTCACATGGTACAGTGTGTGTCAGTGTTCACATGGTAGTCAGTGCTCACATGGTACAGTGTGTCTGTGCTCACATGGTACAGAATGTTTCAGTGCTCACATGGTACAGTGTGTGTCAGTGCTCACATGGTACACTGTGTCTGCTCACATGATAGTCAGTGTTCACATGGTACAGTGTGTGTCAGTGTTCACATGGTACAGTGTGTGTCAGTGTTCACATGGTAGTCAGAGCTCACATGGTACAGTGTGTGTCAGTGCTCACATGGTACAGTGTGTGTCAGTGTTCACATGGTACAGCGTGTGTCAGTGCTCACATGGTGCAGTGTGTGTCAGTGCTCACATGGTACAGTGTATCAGTGTTCACATGGTACAGTGTGTGTTAGTGTTCACATGGTACAGCGTGTGTCAGTGTTCACATGGTAAAGTGTGTGTCAGTGTTCACATAGTATAGTGTTTGTCAGTGTTCACATGGTACAGTGTGTGTCAGTGTTCACATGGTATAGTGTGTGTCAGTGTTCACATGGTACAGTGTGTGTCAGTGCTCACATGGTAGTCAGTGCTCACATGGTACAGTGTGTGTCAGTGCTCACCTGGTATCTCTCGGCGTAGGTCTCTCCCTCTGTAGAGTCCCATTCCTCCAGCAGCTCCTCGTGCGCCTGGTGCAGCCACATGGTCAGCTCCTGAGCCTTTCTGTCTGGGTTCACCTGGTACCACACACATACACACACATATATAATCACACAGATACACACACACACACACACAAATACACACACACACAGATACACACACACACACACAGTTGCACACACATACACACACACACACACACACACAGATACACACATACACACACAGATACACACACACACACACACAGTTACACACACACACACACACACACACACAAAAATACACATACACACACACACACACACAGATACACACACACACACACGTACACACACACACACACACAGTTACACATACACATAAACACACAGAGACACACACACACAGATACACACACAGATACACACACACACACACAGTTACACACACACACACACAAAGACACACACACACACACGTACACACACACACACACACAGTTACACATACACATAAACACACAGAGACACACACACACAGATACACACACAGATACACACACACACACACACACACAGTTACACACACACACACACACAGAGACACACACACACACACCCACACACACACACAGATACACACACACACAGTTACACCCACACACACAGAGACACACACACCCACACGCACATACAGATACACACACAGATCCACACACACACACACACACACACACACACACACACACACACACAGATACACACACACATGGTGCAGGTTTGTGGTGACACATGTTTGATCATGAGACGCTGGAGCCTGAAGAGAAACAGGCTCAAACACGACTCACACTGACACTGCCTTTTACTATGTGAGAAGATCTCTGGTCTCTCTCTGGTTTCTCTCTCTCTGGTCTCTCTCTCTGGTCTCACTCTGGTCTCTCTCTGGTTTCTCTCTCTCTGGTCTCTCTCTCTGGTCTCACTCTGGTCTCTCTCTGGTCTCTCTCTGGTCTCTCTCTGGTTTCTCTCTCTCTGGTCTCTCTCTCTGGTCTCTCTCTCTGGTCTCACTCTGGTCTCTCTCTGGTCTCATTCTGGTCTCTCTCTGGTCTCTCTCTGGTCTCTCTCTGGTCTCTCTCTGGTCTCTCTCTGGTCTCTATCTGGTCTCTCTCTGGTTTCTCTCTGGTCTCTCTCTGGTCTCTCTCTGGTCTCTCTCTGGTCTTTTTCTGGTCACTCTGTCTGGTCTCTTTCCTGGTCTCTCTCTGGTCTTTCTTACTCTCTCCTGCTCTCTCCTGGTCTCTCATGGTCTCCCCTGGTCACTCCTGGTCTTCCATGGCCTATCCTAGCCTCTCCTGGTCACTCCTGGCCTCCCCTAGTCTCCCCTAGTCTCCCCTAGTCTTTCCTGGTCTCTCCTGGTCTCTCCTGGTCTGTGTTGATAGTATGTGCTTGGTTCCATGGTGACAAACGAGTCTTTCCTCTTTGACATTGGTCACATTTCTGACTCGGTACAGAACAGGACAGACCCGTCCTTGTCCTGCTGTGAACCTCGCCACCTGGAGGGAAACCTGTCCCAGCAGGAGGGCGTGTCCTGGAGCTTCACAAACATCATCAAACTGTCAATCTCTGGATTCACCTCAATCACAAAATTATCAGGACGTCTGCTTCGCCGTGGGGGAAAGCGGAGGGGCAGGTAAAGGGGAGGGGAAGTCAAAGGGGAGTTAAAGGGCGGGGCAGTCAAAGGGGAGGGGCAGTCAAAGGGCAGGGGCAGTCAAAGGGGAGGGGCAGTCAAAGGGGAGGGGCAGTTAACGGGGAGGGACAGGTAAAGGGTTGGGGCAGTTAAAGGGGAGGGGCAGTTAAAGGGTTGGGGCAGGTAAAGGGTTGGGGCAGTTAAAGGGGAGGGGCAGTTAAACACAAACAAACATGTGGTCATGAAAACTGTTCCAGCATGTGACATCACAGAGACCTGCGGCTGTGTTTTCAGTCTTTGATCTCCCTCTTTGATCCAAATAGTTTCCAATAATGATATTTATGAAACATTTACAAACCACAGCTTTAAATTAAACTGTTTCTGATCTCTTAAAGTCACAACAGTCACACTGTTGTTCCAGACACACGTGACCATGTGACCTGTGTCATGTGACTGTGTTAGACACATGTGTCATGTGACTGTTATAGACACACGTGTGTGTCATGTGACTGTTATAGACACATGTGTGTGTCATGTGACTGTTATAGACACGTGTGTGTCATGTGACTGTTATAGACACATGTGTGTCATGTGACTGTTATAGACACGTGTGTGTCATGTGATTGTTATAGACACGTGTGTGTCATGTGATTGTTATAGACACGTGTGTCATGTGACTGTTATAGACACACATGTGTGTCATGTGACTGTTATAGACACGTGAGTGTCATGTGACTGTTATAGACACGTGAGTGTCATGTGACTGTTATAGACACGTGAGTGTCATGTGACTGTTATAGACACGTGTGTGTCATGTGATTGTTATAGACACATGTGTGTCATGTGACTGTTATAGACACGTGAGTGTCATGTGACTGTTATAGACACGTGAGTGTCATGTGACTGTTATAGACACGTGTGTGTCATGTGACTGTTATAGACACGTGTGTGTCATGTGACTGTTATAGACACGTGTGTGTCATGTGACTGTTATAGACACGTGAGTGTCATGTGATTGTTATAGACACATGTGTGTCATGTGACTGTTATAGACACGTGAGTGTCATGTGACTGTTATAGACACGTGTGTGTCATGTGATTGTTATAGACACACACATGTGGGGACCACAGGGCTGTGTACTGGGCCCAATGATATTTATGGAGAAACAGAGATTTGGATTCTGTGGGATTGTGTTGCGTGTTGGAAGGAGGAGAAAAGGAGGAGGATGAGAAAAAGGAGGAGGATGAGGAGAAAGAGGAGTGCACCTGTCGGAGAGGAGACGCAGAGATGGCGGGGGTGAAGTGAGACGGGAGGTTCACAGGAGAAGGACTTTTCGGAGCAAAAGTCTGAAAAAACAGAAAAAGATGCAGAAGAGAAAAGCAGGGAATAGAAGAGAGTAAAGCTCAGGTCTGTAAGTTTGATTCTATCATTAGTTTGGAGGCTGAGAGGGACAGTCCTGAGACACCTGTACTGGCTCTCCTCCTGGTCTCCTCCTGCTCTCCTCCTGGTCTCCTTCTGGTCTACTTCTGGTCTCCTTCTGGTCTACTTCTGGTCTCCTCCTGCTCTCCTCCTGGTCTCCTCCTGGTCTCCTCCTGCTCTCCTCCTGGTCTCCTTCTGGTCTACTTCTGGTCTCCTCCTGCTCTCCTCCTGGTCTCCTCCTGGTCTCCTCCTGGTCTCCTCCTGGTCTCCTTATGGTCTCCTCCTGGTCTCCTCCTGGTCTCCTTCTGGTCTACTTCTGGTCTCCTCCTGGTCTCCTTCTGGTCACCTTCTGGTCTCCTCCTGGTCTCCTCCTGGTCTCCTTCTGGTCTCCTTCTGGTCTCCTCCTGGTCTCCTTCTGGTGAGACAACACCTTCCCAGGGAGGAGACCAGGAGGTGACTGAGCCCCTCCCCTGTCAGAGAGAGCAGCAGCTCTACTCTGAACTCCCCCATGACTGAGCCCCTTCCTTATGAAACATGACTGAAACCAAGACAACAGACAGAAACACACACACACCCACCCATACACACACACACACACACACACACTGGGCTACGTTGCACGAACTACGGGTGTGGCTCAATTTCAGTCCTGGGTCTACAGTCTCAGTCCTGGGTCTACAGCCTCAGTCCTGGGTCTACAGCCTCAGTCCTGGGTCTATGTGTGACAAACCTGGTCCGGGTCCTGGTCCAGGTCCTGGTCCTGGGGCAGGTCTCTGGAGTACTGCAGGAACTGGGACACGTAGGTCATGATGGACTTCTCCTCTGGGTCTCGGACATCGATGTCTGCAGCAGAACGCTCCATCAGAGCAGCTTAGAGCACTCTGGCCTCAGTACCAGGGAGAGGGGAGAGGGGAGAGGGGAGGGAGGAGGGGAGAGGGGAGAGGGGAGAGGGGAGAGGGGAGGGAAGAGGGAAGAGGGGAGCGGAGAGGGGAGAGGGGAGGGAGGAGGGGAGACGGGAGGGGAGGGAGGAGGGGAGAGGGGAGGGGAGGGAGGAGGGGAGCGGGGAGGGGAGAGGAGAGGGAGGAGGGGAAGGGGGGAGGAGGGAGAGGAGAGGCGAGGGAGGGAGATGTGTGTGTGTTTGTGTGTGTGTGTGTGTGTGTGTGTATGTGTGTGTGTGTGTGTGTGTGTGTGTGTGTGTATGTGTGTGTGTGTGTGTGTGTGTGTGTGTGTGTGTGTGTGTGTATGTGTGCACTTGTTTTCAACTCCTGGTGGGTTCCATAACCTGAGATTCCGCTCACGTCATGGGGACTGGTTTTACGTGGTGGGGCCCGAACACCGGACCCCACTGGTCCAAGCTTAATAATCAATGGGTAATGCTTTTCTAACGGTCCTTATGCAGTCTCTGTAAAAATATGGAAAGGACCCCTGGAGGTTTACTTTCCTGAAAAAAGTGTGTTATGTGTCGGAACCCTGGTGGTGGGTTGCGGGATATCAAGGAGGGGCACACTGGGGCAATTTCAGTCCAGCAGGCTGGAGCCAATCATGGAGCAGCACAACAGAGGCTGGAGCCAATCATGGAGCAGCACAACAGAGGAAATCAGGTGTCAGGCTAGAAAAAGGTGCAAGTGTGTGGTTCATTAGGCTGCAGCCAATCACAGAGCAGCACACTGAAGCGCACGCTTACAAACCACTGGTAAGTGCTGACTACAAGTCATGACTTCAAATTGTTATATAGAATGATTACAAATTATTTGTTGTTTGTGCAGCTTAGTCAAGAGTTCCTAATTGATGAAGTCGACTCAGATTCTGACGATTTAACTGTCAAGAAGAAACCTGTAAAAAAGTATGGAAAAAGAAAAATCAAAAACACTTTTCTTCAAGACTCGGAAAGTGACGAACCAAAGGCAAATAAGATTGTTATCATGCAGCTGCAAAAGAAGAAAAATGGGGGGCGAGTTTACAGCAAGAGACACTTCTGCCTCTACTGTTCAATGTCCTGCCACAAAATGTCCCGTCATTTGACTAGAAAACATGGAAATGAAAGTGACGTAGCCAGAGCATTGGCTCTACCTGTGAAATCTAAAGCACGTAAACTTCAGTTTGATTTGATCAGGAATAGTGGAAACCATGAGCACAATTTTGAGGTTTTAAAGGCCGGCATTGGAACTTTAGTCCCAGCTAAACAGCCAAATTCCCCAGTTAAATCCAGTGAGTTTTTGCACTGTATAAACTGTGGGGCATTGCTTAAGCGAAAGTCGCTGTGGAGGCATGTGGCCAGGTGCCGGCTTTCACAGAAAGATGCCCAGGCTAAACCAGGCTAAACCAGGTAGAAGTAGGGTCCAGTCCCTCTGCTCCCTAGCCCAGCCTGTACCGGAGGGCATCAGCAAAAAGCTGTGGTCTTTAATTTCGGCAATGCATCAGGATGAGGTCACGGGTGTTGTCAAAGCAGAAAAGGGGATTCTGAGACTCGGAGAGCACCTGTACTTAAAACACGGGCATGATAAGACTAAGCATGATTACATTAGGCAGAAAATGAGAGAAGTCGGTAGGTTAATTAACGAAGCAAAAACTGCAGGGAAACTGAAAACAATTATGGATTTCTTTATTCCTTCCAATTTTAACCATGTGATTGATGCAGTCAGGTCTGTGGCTGGATATGATGAGGAAACAAATCAATACAAGACTCCATCCTTGGCCCTCAAACTCGGCCATAGCCTCAGAAAGCTAGCAGATATTCTTGAATGTGACTCAAAAATGGAGCATTGTGTTGATGAACTATTTATTAAAAACCTCCAACGAAGCCGGCTGCTTTTTGAGAAGAGGTGGGACGTCTGTGTTTCTTCTGCTGCCCTACAGACCCTCCGGCAAGCCAAGTGGAACACTCCGGACCTGCTCCCTCTGACTGAGGACGTTAGAGCCATGCATGCACATATTGAGGTATGTCGACCTGAATATGTGCAAACCCTAATAAGTGAGCCAACTTCTAAGCATTGGTCTAAACTGGCAGTTTTGACTCTTTGTGAGGTCATTATTTTCAATCGAAGAAGGGAAGGTGAGGTTTCAAAGATGCCACTGACAGCCTTTACCTTAAGAAGTAAGACTGGGATCCATTCTGACATTGCTCTGGGACTGTCCGAACTTGAGAAAAAGCTGTGTCAGCATCTTCAACGCATTGAAATTAAAGTGAAAAGAAGTCGGAAAGTGCCGGTTCTTTTGACTCCTGAAATGATTGCTTCGATGGAGGTGCTGGTGGAGAACAGAAGGGCCTGTTCCATCTCTGACCATAACCCATACTTCTTTTCCCGCCCGGGCGCAGACACCCACATCAGGGGATCAGACTCCCTACGGCAGGTAGCCAAAGAATGTGGTGCGGTGCATCCAGAGATGCTATCCTCAACCAAACTTAGAAAGCACATAGCTACTATGTCTACAGTTCTCAATATGAAAGAGAATCAGATGGACATACTTGCCAACTTCCTCGGCCATGACATTCGCATCCACAGGCAATATTACATACTACCAGAGGGGACACTGGAGCTGGCCAAAATCAGCAAAGTGTTGATGGCCATGGAGCAGGGAAGAGTGACGGAATTCGAAGGAAAGAGCCTCGACCAGATAAAAATTGAGCCTGAAGGTAATTCTTGATATTATTAAAATATGTATGATTTTTTTCCCCTAAAGGCCACTTGTATTTTTATTTTCTGTGCGACAGGGAGAGCAGTAGAGATCCTCTCACAAACGGACGGGCTAAAAGAAACTTCAAGCGGAGAACCTTCAACCATTCATCCAGATGCACCCCATGGTAGTGGCAGTGCCCCTTCTGGTAAGTGTACCAGGTGGGGGATTACAGCCAGGCTGCTTGGTCCTAACCCTGGGAGTGTATATTGCTAATATATTTTTATTTCTCTCCCTAGAACGTGTAAGAAAGCCATGGTCTGCATCTGAGGTGAAGGCTGTGGAGAAGACCATGACACCTTTCATACAGACTGGAAAGGTCCCTGGGAAGTCTCACTGCCTGGCCTGGCCTGGCCTGCATTAATGCCTCATCAGATGACCTTAGACATCGGACATGGAGTGGCATTAAATTCTATGTCAAAAATAGAATCACTGCAATTCGAAAAAAAAATCTAAAATAAAATTCCTTTAAAATAGTTGTTTGGTTTCTATTGACTGTTTTGTATTACTTACTTACTTGTATTATGTGTGTGTGTGTCTGTGTGTGTGTGTGTGTGTGTCTGTGTGTGTGTGTGTGTGTGTGTGTGTGGGTGTGTGTCTGTGTGTGTGTGTGTCTCTGTGTGTGTGTGTGTCTCTGTGTGTGTGTGTGTGTGTGTGTCTAACCATGTGGCTCCAGCAGTCGTGGGATGTGGAGGTCCCTCTCCGCGGCGCTGAAAGCCTCCTCCAGGTTCTGCAGGTTGCTCCTCTGTGAGGCCCGGGACAGGTCCAGACCTGGTCTGAGAGACGAAACCAGCGCCAAGAAGACCACCCCGGTCCTAAAACTGGTCCTGAAGTCTCTCACACTCACACTGCAGCCCACCCTGAGGAGACACAACCATGTAGACCACAGACCAGAGACCAGAGACCACAGACCAGAGAGAGACCAGAGAGAGACCAGAGAGGGACCAAAGAGAGACCAGAGAGAGACCAGAGAGCTCTGTACAAAACATTTCTTAGGAAAAGAACCTTATAGAATCTGAAAAACAAAATATAAAAGACCCGTGTCCTAACCCGTGTCCTAACACCCGTGTCCTAGACCCGTGTCCTACACCCGTGTCCTAGACCCGTGTCCTAGACCCGTGTCCTAGACCCGTGTCCTACACCCGTGTCCTAGACCTGTGTCCTACACCCGTGTCCTAGACCTGTGTCCTACACCCGTGTCCTAGACCCGTGTCCTAGACCCATGTCCCTAACCCTCTGGTACCTCTGGTACTTACGATTACCATGGAGACGTACCTGGAAGGCGTTCATGATGGTGAACAGGTAGTTAGCAGCGTACGCCCCTGGTCCCTTCGTCAGGTCGAAGAGGATTATGAAGAACCCGAAGACCCAGGTGAGGCCGAACACCGGCGTGAGCAGTACCACGGAGCGGATGACGGTTTTCACAGAATTCTTCTCTGGATCCGCCGTGGGCTGCGCCGCCGCGCTCTGCAGCAGCTTCAGGATCACCAGCACCATGAAGAACAGGTTGATGAAGACGATGATGCACACAGGGATGATGAAGGTGAAGATGGAGCCTTTTAACAGGCCGTCGTACACCAGCCAGCGCGTTTCCTTGGAGTAGTACCGTCCGTCTGCGCCGTCATTGGCCAGAAAGGTAACCACGACGATGAGGAGCGGGCTCACGTAGCCGAGCAGCAGCGAGAAGCGCATGTACGCCGTGCGGCCGGCGCCGCGCAGAGACACGTACACCGTCTTATGCATCAGCACGCAGCTGAGGCACAGCGTCCAGAAGAACATGGCGAGGTAACAGAAGTGCTGCAGCACCACGAACGTCAGCAACCACACGGCCGACAACTCCCCGGGCAGCGCCGCCGCCAGGAAGCACACGTCCGCCACCAGCAGGCACACGCTTATGTGCACGTGGGCGCAGTGCCGCATGTGCAGCGTGTCCGTCTTCACCACGTCTCGCCAGATCACCAGCTCCACCACCAGGAACGCCACCAGAGACACGATGGACACGGACAGGCCGGCGTACGTGATCTGCGTCAGGTACGGCACCTCTAACGGCGCCTTGGACATGAGCACGGCGAACGAGGACAGGTGGTGGCAGCGGCAGCGGCCCTCGCTCTGCAGCTCGCAGCCCTCTTCTGACCACTTGTCCGTCTTCCAGAATACACATATTAGTTTGTGGTTACGGCGCCGCGGGCCAATCAGAGCAAAGTCTATGGTGATGTCGACTTCCCCCACGCCTGCGCCTCCCTGTGCGCCTCCCTGTGCGCCTCCCTGTGCGCCTCCCTGTGCTTTCCCAGCCACGCTCTCAGCCCTAGCTGTGGTGGAGATGACGATGCTGTTCAGGCTGTATTCCTGCTCGAGGTTGTTGGGCAGGAAGTTTGCCAGGTTTAAGAACCCGGTGGTTGTGATGGCGGCGCCGTGGCCTGTGGAGACGGTCACGCTGTTGTTGAAGACCTTGTTGCTGCAGGAGACGCCGTGGCAGCTGCGCACCTGCAGGTTATTCTGGGTATCGGGGTGTGTGACGTTGGCGTTGTCGATCAGGTGCTCCACGGCGATCAGGTACTCCGCCGCTAACGGCGTTTTGGTGTCCTTAGAGGACAACTCCCAGGAGTTGTTCAGAGGCTGCTCCAGAAGGTTACTGGCAGAAAGGAGGAAGTTCTGAAAGAAAGCATTCAATGTATTGACTGTGAACAGGGACAGTACACATTAGCAAGCTGTATTAGCTACAGCATTAGCTTCTGTATTAGCTACAGCATTAGCTTCTGTATTAGCTACAGTATTAGCTTCTGTATTAGCTACAGTATTAGCTTCTGTATTAGCTACAGCATTAGCTTCTGTATTAGCTACAGTATTAGCTTCTGTATTAGCTACAGTATTAGCTTCTGTATTAGCTACAGCATTAGCTTCTGTATTAGCTAGAGTATTAGCTTCTGTATTAGCTACAGTATTAGCTTCTGTATTAGCTACAGTATTAGCTTCTGTATTAGCTACAGTATTAGCTGTATTAGCTAGAGTATTAGCTTCTGTATTAGCTACAGTATTAGCTTCTGTATTAGCTACAGTATTAGCTTCTGTATTAGCTACAGTATTAGCTTCTGTATTAGCTACAGTACAGTAATACAGAAGCCATAACTGTAGCTAATACAGTTCCTTGCAAAAGTATTCGGCCCCCTTGAACCTTTCAACATTTTGCCACATTTCAGGCTTCAAACATAAAGATATAAAAAATATTTTTTTTTGTCAAGAATCAACAACAAGTGGGACACAATCGTGAAGTGGAACGAAATTTATTGGATAATTTAAACTTTTTAAAAAAATAAAAAACTGAAAAGTGGGGCGTGCAATATTATTCGGCCCCCTTGCGCTAATACTTTGTAGCGCCACCTTTTGCTGCAATTACAGCTGCAAGTCGCTTGGGGTATGTCTCTATCAGTTTGCACATCGAGAGACTGGAATTCTTTCCCATTCTTCCTTGCAAAACAGCTGGAGCTCAGTGAGGTTGGATGGAGAGCGTTTGTGAACAGCAGTCTTCAGCTCTTTCCACAGATTCTCGATTGGATTCAGGTCTGGACTTTGACTTGGCCATTCTAACACCTGGATACGTCTATTTGTGAACCATTCCATTGTAGATTTGGCTTTATGTTTTGGATCATTGTCCTGTTGGAAGATAAATCTCCGTCCCAGTCTCAGGTCTTTTGCAGACTCCAACAGGTTTTCTTCCAGAATGGTCCTGTATTTGGCTCCATCCATCTTCCCATCAATTTTAGCCATCTTCCCTGTCCCTGCTGAAGAAAAGCAGACCCAAAGCATGATGCTGCCACCACCATGTTTGACAGTGGGGATGGTGTGTTCAGGGTGATGAGCTGTGTTGCTTTTACGCCAAACATATCGTTTTGCATTGTGGCCAAAAAGTTTGATTTTGGTTTCATCTGACCAGAGCACCTTCTTCCACATGTTTGGTGTGTCTCCCAGGTGGCTTGTGGCAAACTTTAAACAAGACTTTTTATGAATATCTTTGAGAAATGGCTTTCTTCTTGCCACTCTTCCATAAAGGCCAGATTTGTGCAGTGCACGACTGATTGTTGTCCTATGGACAGACTCTCCCACCTCAGCTGTAGTTATCTGCAGTTCATCCAGAGTGATCATGGGCCTCTTGGCTGCATCTCTGATCAGTCTTCTCCTTGTTTGAGATGAAAGTTTGGAGGGACGGCCGGGTCTTGGTAGATTTGCAGTGGTCTGATACTCCTTCCATTTCAATATAATTGCTTGCACAGTGCTCCTTGAGATGTTTAAAGCTTGGGAAATCTTTTTGTATCCAAATCCGGCTTTAAACTTCTCCACAACAGTATCTCGGACCTGCCTGGTGTGTTCCTTTGTCTTCATGGTTCTCTCTGTGCTTTAAACAGAACCCTGAGACTATCAAAGAGCAGGTGCATTTATACAGAGACTTGATTACACACAGGTACATTCTATTTATCATCATCAGTCATTTAGGACAACATTGGATCATTCAAAGATCCTCACTGAACTTCTGGAGTGAGTTTGCTGCAGTGAAAGTAAAGGGGCCGAATAATATTGCACGCCCCACTTTTCAGTTTTTTATTTGTTAAAAAAGTTTAAATTATCCAATACATTTCGTTCCACTTCACGATTGTGTCCGACTTGTTGTTGATTCATGACAAAAAAATAAAATTTTATATCTTTATGTTTGAAGCCTGAAATGTGGCGAAATGTTGAAAGGTTCAAGGGGGCCGAATACTTTTGCAAGGAACTGTATTAGCTACAGTTATGGCTTCTGTATTAGCTTCTGTATTAGCTTCTGTATTAGCTTCTGTATTAGCTACAGTATTAGCTTCTGTATTAGCTACAGTATTAGCTTCTGTAATATCGGCCTTGTTCCCATAGCTCTCTTCCTTTATCGTCCTGGGATAGTAGCTCTCTGCCTTTATTGTCCTTGGAAAGTAGCTCTCTGCCTTTATCGTCCTGGGATAGTAGCTCTCTGCCTTTATTGTCCTTGGAAAGTAGCTCTCTGCCTTTATCGTCCTGGGAAAGTAGCTCTCTGCCTTTATTGTCCTGGGACAGTAGCTCTCTGCCTTTATCGTCCTGGGAAAGTAGCTCTCTGCCTTTATTGTCCTTGGAAAGTAGCTCTCTGCCTTTATCGTTCTGGGAAAGTAGCTCTCTGCCTTTATCGTCCTTGGAAAGTAGCTCTCTGTCTTTATCGTCCTTGGAAAGTAGCTCTCTGTCTTTATCGTCCTGGGACAGTAGCTCTGCCTTTATCGTCCTGGGAAAGTAGCTCTCTGCCTTTATCGTCCTGGGAAAGTATCTCACTGCCTTTATTGTCCTGGGAAAGTAGCTCTCTGTCTTTATCGTCCTGGGAAAGTAGCTCTCTGTCTTTATCGTCCTGGGAAAGTAGCTCTCTGTCTTTATCGTCCTTGGAAAGTAGCTCTCTGCCTTTATCGTCCCGGGACGGTAGCTCTTTGGGTGAAAAAAAGTTTTAACAGTATTATTTACAGTATTAGCTAAAGTATTGCGGGGTTGTCACGTGACCTAAAGGGGGCGTGGCCTGGGGACGTAGGACAGGAAGTAAATTTCTCCTTTTAAACATGTAGAAAACACACACAGGAGCACTGTCTAGTTTCACTCTGATTCTGAGAAATCTGTTCATGCAGCGAACAATGTTTCCAGCAATGGGGAGGATTAAGGCTGTTACAGCTCATTTCCACAGGACGCCTTCACAGCACGTAAGCGTTGAGTGTGCGTATGCGTTGACTGCGAGTAAGCGCTGACTGCGCGTAAGCGTTGAGTGTGCGTAAGCGTTGAGTGTGCGTAAGCGCTGAGTGTGCGTATGCGTTGACTGCGTGTAAGCGTTGAGTGTGCGTATGCGTTGACTGCGAGTAAGCGCTGACTGCGCGTAAGCGTTGAGTGTGCGTAAGCGCTGAGTGTGCGTAAGCGTTGACTGCGCGTAAGCGTTGAGTGTGCGTAAGCGTTGACTGCGCGTAAGCGTTGAGTGTGCGTATGCGTTGACTGCGCGTAAGCGTTGAGTGTGCGAAAGCGTTGAGTGTGCGTAAGCGTTGACTGCGCGTAAGCGTTGAGTGTGCGTAAGCGTTGACTGCGCGTAAGCGTTGAGTGTGCGTATGCGTTGACTGCGCGTAAGCGTTGAGTGTGCGAAAGCGTTGAGTGTGCGTAAGCGTTGAGTGTGCGTATGCGTTGACTGCGCGTAAGCGTTGAGTGTGCGTAAGCGTTGAGTGTGCGTAAGCGTTGAGTGTGCGTAAGCGTTGAGTGTGCGTAAGCGTTGAGTGTGCGTATGCGTTGACTGCGTGTAAGCGTTGACTGCGCGTAAGCGTTGAGTGTGCGTAAGCGTTGAGTGTGCGTAAGCGTTGAGTGTGCGTATGCGTTGACTGCGTGTAAGCGTTGACTGCGCGTAAGCGTTGAGTGTGCGTAAGCGTTGACTGCGCGTAAGCGTTGACTGCGCGTAAGCGTTGAGTGTGCGTAAGCGTTGACTGCGCGTAAGCGTTGAGTGTGCGTAAGCGTTGAGTGTGCGTAAGCGTTGACTGCGCGTAAGCGTTGAGTGTGCGTAAGCGTTGAGTGTGCGTAAGCGTTGAGTGTGCGTAAGCGTTGACTGCGTGTGAGCGTTGAGTGTGCGTATGCGTTGACTGCGTGTGAGCGTTGACTGCGTGTGAGCGTTACAGCTTGTAAGCGTTGATTGCGCGTATGCGTTGACTGCGCGTAAGCGTTGAGTGTGCGTAAGCGTTGACTGCGCGTAAGCGTTGAGTGTGCGTAAGCGTTGACTGCGCGTAAGCGTTGAGTGTGCGTAAGCGTTGACTGCGTGTGAGCGTTGAGTGTGCGTATGCGTTGACTGCGTGTGAGCGTTGACTGCGTGTGAGCGTTACAGCTTGTAAGCGTTGATTGCGCGTATCGTAAGCGTTGATTGCGCGTACGCGTTGACTGCGCGTAAGCGTTGACTGCGCGTAGGGCCGGTTTACGTTGTTCTTAAAGGGAAGATTTACATAGTTCTTAAAGGGGAGGTTTACATTGTTCTTAAAGGGGAGGTTTACGTTGTTCTTAAAGGGGAGGTTTATGTTGTTCTCAAAGGGGAGGTTTACATAGTTCTTAAAGGGGAGGTTTACATTGTTCTTAAAGGGGAGGTTTACGTTGTTCTTAAAGGGGAGGTTTACATTGTTCTTAAAGGGGAGGTTTACAATGTTCTTAAAAGGGAGGTTTACATAGTTCTTAAAGGGGAGGTTTACATTGTTCTTAAAGGGGAGGTTTACGTTGTTCTTAAAGGGGAGGTTTACATTGTTCTTAAAGGGGAGGTTTACGTTGTTCTCAAAGGGGAGGTTTACGTTCTTAAAGGGGAGGTTTACATTGTTCTTAAAGGGGAGGTTTACGTTGTTCTTAAAGGGGAGGTTTACATAGTTCTTAAAGGGGAGGTTTACATAGTTCTTAAAGGGGAGGTTTACATAGTTCTTAAAGGGGAGGTTTACATTGTTCTTAAAAGGGAGGTTTACTTCCTGTTCCTCAGAGGACTTTAAGGCTCTGTGTGACGCTGCAACCCAGCAATTAGCTTCTGTTTTAGCTACTCATGGTTCAGAATGGCTCGGACTGGCTCACATTGACAGTGGTCTGGTTGCTCAGACTGGCTTAGACTGGCTCGGACTGGCTCACATTGACAGTGGTCTGGTTGCTCAGACTGGCTCAGACTGGCTCGGACTGGCTCACATTGACAGTGGTCGGGTTGCTCAGACTGGCTTGGACTGGCTCACATTGACAGTGGTCGGGTTGCTCAAACTGGCTCAGACTGGCTCGGACTGGCTCACATTGACAGTGGTCTGGTTGCTCAGACTGGCTAAGACTGGCTCGGACTGGCTCACATTGACAGTGGTCTGGTTGCTCAGACTGGCTTAGACTGGCTCGGACTGGCTCACATTGACAGTGGTCTGGTTGCTCAGACTGGCTTAGACTGGCTCGGACTGGCTCACATTGACAGTGGTCTGGTTGCTCAGACTGGCTCAGACTGGCTCGGACTGGCTCACATTGACAGTGGTCTGGTTGCTCAGACTGGCTCAGACTGGCTCGGACTGGCTCACATTGACAGTGGTCGGGTTGCTCAGACTGGCTCAGACTGGCTCGGACTGGCTCACATTGACAGTGGTCTGGTTGCTCAGACTGGCTCAGACTGGCTCGGACTGGCTCACATTGACAGTGGTCGGGTTGCTCAGACTGGCTTGGACTGGCTCACATTGACAGTGGTCTGGTTGCTCAGACTGGCTCAGACTGGCTCGGACTGGCTCACATTGACAGTGGTCGGGTTGCTCAAACTGGCTCAGACTGGCTCGGACTGGCTCACATTGACAGTGGTCGGGTTGCTCAAACTGGCTCAGACTGGCTCGGACTGGCTCACATTGACAGTGGTCGGGTTGCTCAAACTGGCTCAGACTGGCTCGGACTGGCTCACATTGACAGTGGTCTGGTTGCTCAGATTGCTCAGCTTGGTGCTCATGGTGGAGATGACAGTGACAGACGTCTTCAGGTTGGGGACACTGTTGAAGGCTTTGGTGTTGTTGGTCATATTCTGCAGCTTCTTAAACACATCGTCTGCATTCTTCTCCAGCATCCCCAGGCCGCTGTCCGAGACCTGAGGACAAACCAGGCCAAAGAGAGCTGAGGAGGGCTGAAGAGGGCCAGGAGGGATGAAGAGGACTGAAGAGGACTGAGGAATGCTGAAGAGGGCCAAAGAGGGCTGAAGAGGGCTAAAGAGGGCCAGAGGGCTGGAGAGGGCCAGAGGGCTGAAGAGGGCTAAAGAGAGCTAAAGAGGGCCAAAGAGGGCCAAAGACGGGCATAGGGCTGAAAAGGGCTAAAGAGGACCAAAGAGGGCTGAAGAAGGCCAAAGAGGGCTGAAGAAGACTGAAGAGGGCCAAGAAGGGCTAAAGAGGGCTGAGGAGGGCCAAAGAGGGCGGAAGAGGGCCAAAGAGGGCTGAAGAGAGCCAAATAAGACTGAAGAAGGCCAAAGAAGGCCAAAGAGGGCCAAAAAGGGTTGAAGAGGGCTGAAGAGGGCCAAAGAGGGCTGAGTATGGCTGAAGAGGGCTGAAGAGAGCCAAAGGCTGAAGAGGGCTGAAAAGGGCCGAAAAGGGATGAAGAGGAATAAAGCAGGTCAAAAGCAAGTCTAAAGCAGGTCTAAAGCAGGTCTAAAGGAGGACTAAAGCAGGTCTAAAGCAGGTCAAAAGCAGGACTAAAGCAGGTCTAAAGCAGGTCTAAAGCAGGACTAAAGCAGGTCTAAAGCAGGACTAAAAGAGGTCTAAAGCAGGTCTAAAGCGGGTCTAAAGCAGGTCTAAAGCAGGACTAAAGCAGGTCTAAAGCAGGTCTAAAGCAGGACTAAAGCAGGTCTAAAGCAGGACTAAAGCAGGACTAAAGCAGGTCTAAAGCAGGTCTAAAGGAGGTCTAAAGCAGAACTAAAGCAGGTCTAAAGCAGGTCTAAAGCAGGTCTAAAGCAGGACTAAAGCAGGACTAAAGCAGGACTAAAGCAGGACTAAAGCAGGTCTAAAGCAGTACTAAAGCAGGTCTAAAGCAGGACTAAAGCAGGTCTAAAGCAGGACTAAAGCAGGACTAAAGCAGGACTAAAGCAGGTCTAAAGCAGGTCTAAAGCAGGACTAAAGCAGGTCTAAAGCAGGTCTAAAGCAGGACTAAAGCAGGTCTAAAGCAGGACTAAAGCAGGTCTAAAGCAGGACTAAAGCAGGTCTAAAGCAGGTCTAAAGCAGGATTAAAGCAGGTCTAAAGCAGGTCTAAAGCAGGACTAAAGCAGGACTAAAGCAGGACTAAAGCAGGACTAAAGCAGGACTAAAGCAGGTCTAAAGCAGGACTAAAGCAGGACTAAAGCAGGACTAAAGCAGGACTAAAGCAGGTCTAAAGCAGGTCTAAAGCAGGTCTAAAGCAGGAATAAAGCAGGTCTAAAGCAGGTCTAAAGCAGGACTAAAGCAGGTCTAAAGCAGGTCTAAAGCAGGTCTAAAGCAGGACTAAAGCAGGTCTAAAGCAGGTCTAAAGCAGGACTAAAGCAGGTCTAAAGCAGGTCTAAAGCAGGACTAAAGCAGGTCTAAAGCAGGACTAAAGCAGGTCTAAAGCAGGTCTAAAGCAGGACTAAAGCAGGTCTAAAGCAGGTCTAAAGCAGGACTAAAAGAGGTCTAAAGCGGGTCTAAAGCAGGTCTAAAGGAGGACTAAAGCAGGTCTAAAGCAGGTCTAAAGCAGGACTAAAGCAGGTCTAAAGCAGGACTCAAGCAGGACTAAAGCAGGACTAAAGCAGGTCTAAAGGAGGTCTAAAGCAGAACTAAAGCAGGTCTAAAGCAGGTCTAAAGCAGGTCTAAAGCAGGACTAAAGCAGGACTAAAGCAGGACTAAAGCAGGACTAAAGCAGGTCTAAAGCAGTACTAAAGCAGTACTAAAGCAGGTCTAAAGCAGGACTAAAGCAGGACTAAAGCGGTTTAAAGCAGGACTAAAGCAGGTCTAAAGCAGGTCTAAAGCAGGACTAAAGCAGGTCTAAAGCAGGACTAAAGCAGGTCTAAAGCAGGACTAAAGCAGGTCTAAAGCAGGTCTAAAGCAGGACTAAAGCAGGTCTAAAGCAGGTCTAAAGCAGGTCTAAAGCAGGACTAAAGCAGGACTAAAGCAGGTCTAAAGCAGGACTAAAGCAGGTCTAAAGCAGGACTAAAGCAGGTCTAAAGCAGGTCTAAAGCAGGACTAAAGCAGGTCTAAAGCAGGTCTAAAGCAGGTCTAAAGCAGGACTAAAGCAGGACTAAAGCAGGACTAAAGCAGGACTAAAGCAGGACTAAAGCAGGACTAAAGCAGGTCTAAAGCAGGTCTAAAGCAGGACTAAAGCAGGACTAAAGCAGGACTAAAGCAGGTCTAAAGCAGGTCTAAAGCAGGTCTAAAGCAGGACTAAAGCAGGTCTAAAGCAGGTCTAAAGCAGGACTAAAGCAGGACTAAAGCAGGTCTAAAGCAGGTCTAAAGCAGGACTAAAGCAGGTCTTAAGCAGGTCTAAAGCAGGACTAAAGCAGGTCTAAAGCAGGTCTAAAGCAGGTCTAAAGCAGGACTAAAGCAGGTCTAAAGCAGGACTAAAGCAGGACTAAAGCAGGACTAAAGCAGGTCTAAAGCAGGTCTAAAGCAGGACTAAAGCAGGTCTAAAGCAGGTCTAAAGCAGGACTAAAGCAGGACTAAAGCAGGACTAAAGCAGGACTAAAGCAGGTCTAAAGCAGGACTAAAGCAGGACTAAAGCAGGTCTAAAGCAGGTCTAAAGCAGGTCTAAAGCAGGTCTAAAGCAGGACTAAAGCAGGTCTAAAGCAGGACTAAAGCAGGACTAAAGCAGGTCTAAAGCATGACTAAAGCAGGTCTAAAGCAGGTCTAAAGCAGGACTAAAGCAGGACTAAAGCAGGTCTAAAGCAGGACTAAAGCAGGACTAAAGCAGGACTAAAGCAGGACTAAAGCAGGTCTAAAGCAGGACTAAAGCAGGACTAAAGCAGGACTAAAGCAGGACTAAAGCAGGACTAAAGCAGGACTAAAGCAGGTCTAAAGCAGGTCTAAAGCAGGTCTAAAGCAGGACTAAAGCAGGTCTAAAGCAGGACTAAAGCAGGACTAAAGCAGGTCTAAAGCAGGACTAAAGCAGGACTAAAGCAGGACTAAAGCAGGTCTAAAGCAGGTCTAAAGCAGGACTAAAGCAGGTCTAAAGCAGGACTAAAGCAGGACTAAAGCAGGACTAAAGCAGGTCTAAAGCAGGTCTAAAGCAGGACTAAAGCAGGACTAAAGCAGGACTAAAGCAGGTCTAAAGCAGGTCTAAAGCAGGACTAAAGCAGGTCTAAAGCAGGACTAAAGCAGGACTAAAGCAGGACTAAAGCAGGTCTAAAGCAGGTCTAAAGCAGGACTAAAGCAGGACTAAAGCAGGACTAAAGCAGGACTAAAGCAGGTCTAAAGCAGGTCTAAAGCAGGACTAAAGCAGGACTAAAGCAGGTCTAAAGCAGGTCTAAAGCAGGTCTAAAGCAGGTCTAAAGCAGGACTAAAGCAGGTCTAAAGCAGGACTAAAGCAGGACTAAAGCAGGTCTAAAGCAGGACTAAAGCAGGTCTAAAGCAGGTCTAAAGCAGGACTAAAGCAGGACTAAAGCAGGTCTAAAGCAGGTCTAAAGCAGGACTGAAGCAGGACTAAAGCAGGACTAAAGCAGGTCTAAAGCTGGACTAAAGCAGGACTAAAGCAGGACTAAAGCAGGACTAAAGCAGGATCTAAAGCAGGACTCTAAAGCAGGACTAAAGCAAGACTAAAGACTAAAGCAGGACTAAAGCAGGTCTAAAGCAGAACTAAAAGCAGGACTAAAGCAGGTCTAAAGCAGGACTAAAAGCAGGTCTAAAGCAGCAGGACTAAAGCAGGGACCTAATGCAGGACTAAAACAGGTCTAAAGCAGGACTAAAGCAGGTCTAAAGCAGGTCTAAAAGCAGGACTAAAGCAGGACTAAAAGCAGATCTAAAGCAGGTCTAAAGCAGGACTAAAGCAGGACTAAAGCAGGACTAAAGCAGGTCTAAAGCAGGACTAAAGCAGGTCTAAAGCAGGTCTAAAGCAGGACTAAAGCAGGACTAAAGCAGGACTAAAGCAGGTCTAAAGCAGGACTAAAGCAGGACTAAAGCAGGTCTAAAGCAGGTACTAAAGCAGGTCTAAAGCAGGTCTAAAGCAGGTCTAAAGCAGGACTAAAGCAGGTCTAAAGCAGGTCTAAAGCAGGACTAAAGCAGGACTAAAGCAGGTCTAAAGCACACTAAAGCAGGTCTAAAGCGGACTAAAGCAGGACTAAAGCAGGTCTAAAGCAGGTCTGAAGCAGGACTAAAGCAGGACTAAAGCAGGTCTAAAGCAGGGTCAAAAGCAGGTCTAAAGCAGGTCTAAAGCAGGTCTAAAGCAGGACTAAAGCAGGACTAAAGCAGGACTAAAGCAGGTCTAAAGCAGGACTAAAGCAGGACTAAAGCAGGTCTAAAGCAGGACTAAAGCAGGACTAAAGCAGGTCTAAAGCAGGTCTAAAGCAGGTCTAAAGCAGGACTAAAGCAGGTCTAAAGCAGAACTAAAGCAGGTCTAAAGCAGGTCTAAAGCAGGTCTAAAGCAGGTCTAAAGCAGGTCTAAAAAGCAGGACTAAAGCAGGTCTAAAGCAGGTCTAAAGCAGGACTAAAGCAGGACTAAAGCAGGTCTAAAGCAGCACTAAAGCAGGTCTAAAGCAGGACTAAAGCAGGACTAAAGCAGGTCTAAAGCAGGTCTGAAGCAGGACTAAAGCAGGACTAAAGCAGGACTAAAGCAGGACTAAAGCAGGTCTAAAGCAGGTCTAAAGCAGGTCTAAAGCAGGTCTAAAGCAGGTCTAAAGCAGGTCTAAAGCAGGTCTAAAGCAGGACTAAAGCAGGACTAAAGCAGGACTAAAGCAGGTCTAAAGCAGGTCTAAAGCAGGACTAAAGCAGGTCTAAAGCAGGACTAAAGCAGGACTAAAGCAGGTCTAAAGCAGGTCTAAAGCAGGTCTAAAGCAGGACTAAAGCAGGACTAAAGCAGGACTAAAGCAGGTCTAAAGCAGGACTAAAGCAGGTCTAAAGCAGGTCTAAAGCAGGACTAAAGCAGGACTAAAGCAGGTCTAAAGCAGGTCTAAAGCAGGTCTAAATCAGGTCTAAAGCAGGACTAAAGCAGGTCTAAAGCAGGTCTAAAGCAGGTCTAAAGCAGGTCTAAAGCCGGACTAAAGCAGGTCTAAATCAGGATATTGTCAGGAACTGGAATTGCTGTTGTCTATGGCGATCCACCCCATCTGAAACCTCTTCCATGAGATGTCCCCACAGACCTCCCTCCCTCACCCCTGTCCTCCCCTTCTCCTCTTCATCCACCCTGTCCTCACCCTTCTCCCTCCCCTCACCCCTGTCCTGCCCCTTCTCCCTCTCTCACCCCTGTCCTCGCCCCTTCTCCCTCACTCACCCCTGTCCTCACCCTTCTCCCTCCCTCACCCCTGTCCTCACCCTTCTCCCTCCCTCACCCCTGTCCTCACCCTTGTCCCTCCCTCACCCCTGTCCTCCCCCTTCTCCCTCTCTCACCCCTGTCCTCCCCTTCTCCCTCCCTCACCCCTGTCCTCCCCCTTCTCCCTCTCTCACCCCTGTCCTCACCCCTTCTCCCTCCCTCACCCCTGTCCTCCCCCTTCTCCCTCCCTCACCCCTGTCCTCACCTTCTCCCTCTCTCACCCCTGTCCTCACCCTTGTCCCTCCCTCCACCCCTGTCCTCACCCCCTGTCCCTCACCCCTTCTCCCTTCTCCCTCTCACCCCTGTCCTCACCCTTCCCCTCCTCACCCCCCCCCTTCTCCCTCTCCTCACCCCTGTCCTCACCCTTCTCCCTCCCTCACCCTGTCCTCCCCCTTCTCCCTCCTCACCCCTGTCCTCACCCTTCTCACCCCTCCCTCACCCTTCTCCCTCCCTCACCCCTGTCCTCACCCTTCTCCCTCCCTCACCCCTGTCCTCACCCTTCTCCCTCCCTCACCCCTGTCCTCACCCCTCCCTCCCTCACCCCTGTCCTCACCCTTTCTCCCTCACCCCCTCACCCTGTCACCCTTCCTCCCTCCCCTGTCCTCCCCCTTCTCCCTCTCTCACCCTGTCCTCACCCTTCTCCCTCACTCACCCCTGTCCTCACCCCTCCCTCCCTCACCCCTGTTCCTCACCCTTCTCCCTCCCTCACCCCTGTCCTCACCCTTGTCCCTCCCTCACCCCTGTCCTCACCCTTCTCCCTCCCTCACCCCTGTCCTCACCCTTCTCCCTCCCTCACCCCTGTCCTCCCCTTCTCCCTCCCTCACCCCTGTCCTCACCCTTCTCCCTCCCTCACCCCTGTCCTCACCCTTCTCCTCCCTCACCCCTGTCCTCACCCTTGTCCCTCCCTCACCCCTGTCCTCACCCTTCTCCCTCTCTCACCCCTGTCCTCACCCTTGTCCCCCTCCCTCACCCTGTCCTCACCCTTGTCCCTCCCTCACCCTGTCCTCCCCCTTCTCCCTCCCTCACCCCTGTCCCTCACCCTTCTCCCTCCCTCACCCCTGTCCTCACCCTTCTCCCTCCCTCACCCCTGTCCTCACCCTTGTCCCTCCCTCACCCCTGTCCTCCCCCTTCTCCCTCCCTCACCCCTGTCCTCACCCTTCTCCCTCCCTCACCCCTGTCCTCACCCTTCTCCCTCCCTCACCCCTGTCCTCACCCTTCTCCCTCTCTCAGAGACGTCAGTTTTATTTTCATCCCTGAGAAAAGAGACCAGAGATTAGAGAGGTCACATGACACCAGCTTAGACCTGAGACCATGGATCTGTAGACCTCCAGACCCGAGACCAGAGAGAGACCAGAGAGAGACCAGAGAGAGACCAGAGAGAGACCAGAGAGAGACCAGAGAGAGAGACCAGAGAGAGACCAGAGAGAGACCAGAGAGAGAGACCAGAGAGAGAGACCAGAGAAAGACCAGAGAAAGACCAGAGAGAGAGACCAGAGAGAGACCAGAGAGAGACCAGAGATTAGAGAGGTCACATGACACCGGCTTAGACCTGAGACCATGGATCTATAGACCTCCAGACCCGAGACCAGAGAGAGACGATGTCATCCACAAACAATATGCAGAAAACTCCAGGTATTGCAACAGTAGCAGTAGAAGTATTAGCAGTAGCTGTAGTAGTAGTGGTACAGTAACAGTAGTAGTAGTAGTAGCAGTAGCAGTAGCAGTAACTACTACTACTGCTGCCACTGCTACAGCTACAGCTACTGCTGCTGTTAACCCTTTGTCTGTTTCTCCTGTCTGGTAGTAACTTTCTGTGGCCTGAGACATAGGGGGAGGAGCCTGACACAGACGGGTGTGGCCTGACACAGAGGGGTGGGGCCTGACACAGGTGTGGTGTCCCCACAGAGGGGGAGGAGCCTGACACAGGTGTGGTGTCCCCACAGAGGGGGAGGAGCCTGACACAGGTGTGGTGTCCCCACAGAGGGGGAGGAGCCTGACACAGAGGGGGAGGAGCCTGACACAGGTGTGGTGTCCCCACAGAGGGGGAGGAGCCTGACACAGAGGGGGAGGAGCCTGACACAGGTGTGGTGTCCCACAGAGGGGGAGGAGCCTGACACAGAGGGGGAGGAGCCTGACACAGAGGGGGAGGAGCCTGACACAGGTGTGGTGTCCCCACAGAGGGGGTGGAGCCTGACACAGAGGGGGAGGAGCCTGACACAGAGGGGGATGAGCCTGACACAGAGGGGGAGGAGCCTGACACAGGTGTGGTGTCCCCACAGAGGGGGAGGAGCCTGACACAGGTGTGGTGTCCCCACAGAGGGGGAGGAGCCTGACACAGAGGGGGAGGAGCCTGACACAGAGGGGGAGGAGCCTGACACAGAGGGGGAGGAGCCTGACACAGGTGTGGTGTCCCCACAGAGGGGGAGGAGCCTGACACAGGTGTGGTGTCCCCAGAGGGGGAGGAGCCTGACACAGGTGTGGTGTCCCCACAGAGGGGAGGAGCCTAACACAGGTGTGGTGTCCCCACAGAGGGGGAGGAGCCTGACACAGGTGTGGTGTCCTGGACACAGAGGGGGAGGAGCCTGACACAGGTGTGGTGTCCCCACAGAGGGGGAGGAGCCTGACACAGGTGTGGTGTCCCCAGAGGGGGAGGAGCCAGAGGGGGAGGAGCCTGACACAGGTGTGGTGTCCCCACAGAGGGGAGGAGCCTAACACAGGTGTGGTGTCCCCACAGAGATGCGGAGGCTGGATAAGCGGTTTAAGAAGCTGGACCTGGATGAGTCCGGAGAGCTGAGTGTGGAGGAGTTCATGTCTCTGCCTGAACTGAAGGACAACCCCCTGCTCCAAAGAGTCATCGACCTGTTCGACCAGGACGGCAACGGGGAGGTGGACTTCAGAGGTCGGTCTCTCTCTGGTCTCACTCTGGTCTCAATATCTGGTCTCTCTCTGGTCTCTCTCTGGTCTCTCTCTCTGGTCTCTCTCTCTGGTCTCTCTCTCTGGTCTCTCTCTGGTCTCTCTCTGGTCTCAATATCTGGTCTCTCTCCGGTCTTCCTCTAGTCTTACTCTGGTCTCTCTCTGGTCTCTCTCTCTCTGGTCTCTCTCTCTGGTCTCGCTCTGGTCTCTCTCTCTGGTCTCTCTCTGGTCTCGCTCTCTCTCTCTGGTATCTCTCTGGTCTCTCTCTCTCTGGTCTCTCTCTCTGGTCTCTCTCTGGTCTCTCTCTCTGGTCTCTCTCTGGTCTCTCTCTCTGGTCTTCCTCTGGTCTTACTCTGGTCTCTCTCTGGTCTCTCTCTCTCTGGTCTCTCTCTGGTCTCTCTCTGGTCTCTCTCTCTGGTCTCTCTCTGGTCTTCCTCTAGTCTTACTCTGGTCTCTCTCTGGTCTCTCTCTCTCTGGTCTCTCTCTGGTCTCTCTCTGGTCTCTCTATCTGGTCTCTCTCTCTGGTCTCTCTCTGGTCTCTCTCTCTGGTCTCTCTCTGGTCTCGCTCTCTCTCTCTGGTATCTCTCTGGTCTCTCTCTCTGGTCTCTCTCTCTGGTCTCTCTCTGGTCTCTCTCTGGTCTCTCTCTCTGGTCTCTCTCTGGTCTCTCTCTCTGGTCTCTATCTCTGGTCTCTCTCTGGTCTCTCTCTGGTCTTCCTCTGGTCTTACTCTGGTCTCTCTCTGGTCTCTCTCTCTCTGGTCTCTCTCTGGTCTCTCTCTGGTCTCTCTCTCTGGTCTCTCTCTGGTCTCTCTCTCTGGTCTCTCTCTGGTCTCGCTCTCTCTCTCTGGTATCTCTCTGGTCTCTCTCTCTCTGGTCTCTCTCTCTGGTCTCTCTCTGGTCTCTCTCTCTGGTCTCTCTCTCTGGTCTCTCTCTGGTCTCTCTCTCTCTGGTCTCTCTCTGGTCTCTCTCTGGTCTCTCTCTGGTCTCTCTCTCTCTCTGGTCTCTCTCTGGTCTCTCTCTCTGGTCTCTCTCTGGTCTCTCTCTCTGGTCTCTCTCTGGTCTCGCTCTTACTCTCTCTCTCTGGTATCTCTCTGGTCTCTCTCTCTCTGGTCTCTCTCTCTCTGGTCTCTCTCTCTGGTCTCTCTCTCTCTGGTCTCTCTCTCTGGTCTCTCTCTCTGGTCTCTCTCTGGTCTCTCTCTCTCTGGTCTCTGGTCTTCTCTCTGGTCTTCCTCTGGTCTTACTCTGGTCTCTCTCTGGTCTCTCTCTCTGGTCTCTCTCTGGTCTCTCTCTCTGGTCTCTCTCTGGTCTTCCTCTGGTCTTACTCTGGTCTCTCTCTGGTCTCTCTCTCTCTGGTCTCTCTCTGGTCTCTCTCTGGTCTCTCTCTCTGGTCTCTCTCTGGTCTCTCTCTCTGGTCTCTCTCTGGTCTCGCTCTCTCTCTCCGGTATCTCTCTGGTCTCTCTCTCTCTGGTCTCTCTCTCTGGTCTCTCTCTCTGGTCTCTCTCTCTGGTCTCTCTCTCTGGTCTCTCTCTCTGATCTCTCTCTCTGGTCTCTCTCTCTCTGGTCTCTCTCTCTGGTCTCTCTCTGGTGTCTCTCTGGTCTCTCTCTCTGGTCTCTCTCTCTCTGGTCTCTCTCTCTCTGGTCTCTCTCTCTGGTCTCTCTCTCTGGTCTCTCTCTGGTGTCTCTCTGGTCTCTCTCTCTGGTCTCTCTCTCTGGTCTCTCTCTCTCTGGTCTCTCTCTCTGGTCTTTCTCTGGTCTCTCTCTGGTCTCTCTCTCTGGTCTCTCTCTGGCCTCTCTCTCTGGTCTTTCTCTGGTCTCTCTCTGGTCTCTCTCTCTGGTCTCTCTCTGGTCTCTCTCTCTGGTCTTTCTCTGGTCTCTCTCTGGTCTCTCTCTCTGGTCTCTCTCTGGTCTATTTTTACTTTTTTAACGTTATTGTTGCGGCGTCTCTGTGGAAACAGGGTCTAAGTCTCTGTGTCTGTTTGTCTCTGTGTGTGTGTGTGTGTGTGTGTGTGTCTGTGTTTGTGTGTGTGTGTGTCTATGCGTGTGTGTTGCAGAGTTCCTGGAGGGTGTGATGCAGTTCTCTGTCAAAGGAACCAAAGAGCAAAGACTTCGCTGTGAGTCACACAACTGTTTAAACCAGAGAGAGACCAGAGAGAGACCAGAGAGAGACCAGAGAGAGACCAGAGAGAGACCAGAGAGAGAGACCAGAGAGAGACCAGAGAGAGACCAGAGAGAGACCAGAGAGAGAGACCAGAGAGAGAGACCAGAGAGAGACCAGAGAGAGACCAGAGAGAGAGACCAGAGAGAGAGACCAGAGAGAGAGACCAGAGAGAGACCAGAGAGAGAGACCAGAGAGAGACCAGAGAGAGACCAGAGAGAGACCAGAGAGAGACCAGAGAGAGAGACCAGAGAGAGACCAGAGAGAGACCAGAGAGAGAGACCAGAGAGAGACCAGAGAGAGACCAGAGAGAGAGACCAGAGAGAGACCAGAGAGAGACCAGAGAGAGACCAGAGAGAGAGACCAGAGAGAGAGACCAGAGAGAGACCAGAGAGAGACCAGAGAGAGAGACCAGAGAGAGAGACCAGAGAGAGAGACCAGAGAGAGACCAGAGAGAGACCAGAGAGAGACCAGAGAGAGAGACCAGAGAGAGACCAGAGAGAGACCAGAGAGAGAGACCAGAGAGAGAGACCAGAGAGAGAGACCAGAGAGAGAGACCAGAGAGAGACCAGAGAGAGAGACCAGAGAGAGACCAGAGAGAGACCAGAGAGAGACCAGAGAGAGACCAGAGAGAGAGACCAGAGAGAGAGACCTTCAGGATCTATGTCGTTGATGGTGTCTCCTTCAGGATCTATGACGTTGATGGTGTCTCCTTCAGGATATATGACGTTGATGGTGTCTCCTTCAGGATCTATGACGTTGATGGTGTCTCCACAGTGTCCTTCAGGATCTATGACGTTGATGGTGTCTCCACAGTGTCCTTCAGGATCTATGACGTTGATGGTGTCTCCACAGTTGCCTTCAGGATCAATGACGTTGATGGTGCCTCCTTCAGGATCTATGACGTTGATGGTGTCTCCACAGTTGCCTTCAGGATCATTGACGTTGATGGTGTCTCCTTCAGGATCTATGACGTTGATGGTGTCTCCACAGTTGCCTTCAGGGTCTATGACGTTGATGGTGTCTCCTTCAGGATCTATGACGTTGATGGTGTCTCCACAGTTGCATTCAGGATCAATGACGTTGATGGTGTCTCCTTCAGGATCTATGACGTTGATGGTGTCTCCACAGTTGCCTTCAGGATCTATGACGTTGATGGTGTCTCCTTCAGGATCTATGACGTTGATGGTGTCTCCTTCAGGATCTATGACGTTGATGGTGTCTCCACAGTTGCCTTCAGGATCTATGACGTTGATGGTGTCTCCTTCAGGATCTATGACGTTGATGGTGTCTCCACAGTTGCCTTCAGGATCATTGACGTTGATGGTGTCTCCTTCAGGATCTATGACGTTGATGGTGTCTCCACAGTTGCCTTCAGGATCTATGACGTTGATGGTGTCTCCTTCAGGATCTATGACGTTGATGGTGTCTCCACAGTTGCATTCAGGATCAATGACGTTGATGGTGTCTCCTTCAGGATCTATGACGTTGATGGTGTCTCCACTGTTGCCTTCAGGATCTATGACGTTGATGGTGTCCCCTTCAGGATCTATGACGTTGATGGTGTCTCCACAGTTGCCTTCAGGATCTATGACGTTGATGGTGTCTCCTTCAGGATCTATGACGTTGATGGTGTCTCCACAGTTGCCTTCAGGATCAATGACGTTGATGGTGTCTCCTTCAGGATCTATGACGTTGATGGTGTCTCCTTCAGGATCTGTGACGTTGATGGTGTCTCCACAGTGTCCTTCAGGATCTATGACGTTGATGGTGTCTCCACAGTTGCCTTCAGGATCTATGACGTTGATGGTGTCTCCTTCAGGATCTATGGCGTTGATGGTGTCTCCACAGTTGCCTTAAGGATCTATGACGTTGATGGTGTCTCCTTCAGGATCTATGACGTTGATGGTGTCTCCACAGTGTCCTTCAGGATCTATGACGTTGATGGTGTCTCCACAGTTGCCTTCAGGATCTATGACGTTGATGGTGTCTCCACAGTTGCCTTCAGGATCTATGACGTTGATGGTGTCTCCACAGTTGCCTTCAGGATCTATGACGTTGATGGTGTCTCCACAGTTGCCTTCAGGATCTATGACGTTGATGGTGTCTCCTTCAGGATCTATGACGTTGATGGTGTCTCCACAGTTGCCTTCAGGATCTATGACGTTGATGGTGTCTCCTTCAGGATCTATGACGTTGATGGTGTCTCCACAGTTGCCTTCAGGATCTATGACGTTGATGGTGTCTCCTTCAGGATCTATGACGTTGATGGTGTCTCCACAGTTGCCTTCAGGATCTATGACGTTGATGGTGTCTCCACAGTTGCCTTCAGGATCTATGACGTTGATGGTGTCTCCACAGTTGCCTTCAGGATCTATGACGTTGACGGTGTCTCCACAGTTGCCTTCAGAATCTATGACGTTGATGGTGTCTCCACAGTTGCCTTCAGGATCTATGACGTTGATGGTGTCTCCTTCAGGATCTATAACGTTGATGGTGTCTCTCCACAGTTGCCTTCAGGATCTATGATGTTGATGGTGTCTCCACAGTTGCCTTCAGGATCTATGACGTTGATGGTGTCTCCTTCAGGATCTATGGCGTTGATGGTGTCTCCACAGTTGCCTTCAGGATCTATGACGTTGATGGTGTCTCCTTCAGGATCTATGACGTTGATGGTGTCTCCACAGTTGCCTTCAGGATCTATGACGTTGATGGTGATGGGTTCATCTCTAACGAGGAGCTCTTCATGGTCCTGAAGTTGATGGTTGGAAAGAACCTGGAAGAGGACCAGCTGCAGCAGATCATCAACAAGACCATCGTGTGGGTGGACCAGGACGGGGACGGCAGGGTCAGCTACCAGGAGTTCTGCCAGGTACATACATATATATATATACACACATATGTATACACAAACATATATATACACACATATACACATGTTTACACAAACATATACAGTATATACACACACATATATATATACACACACATATATACACACAAATATATACACACACATATATATTCACACAAATATATACACACACATATATACACACAAATATATACACACATATATATTCACACAAATATATATATACACACATGTATACACACACATATATATACACACACACAAATATATACACACACATATATATTCACACAAATATATATACACACAAATATATACACACACATACACACATGTTTACACAAACATATATACACACACATATATACACACACACATAGATATACACACAAATATATACACACTTGTATACACAAACATATATATATACACATATACACATGTTTACACAAACATATACAGTATATACACACACATATATATATATACACACACATATATACACACACATATATACACACACATATATATTCACACACATATATACACACAAATATATATTCACACACATATATATTCACACAAATATATACACACATATACACACATGTATACACACACATATATACACACACACATATATACACACAAATATATATTCACACAAATATATACACACACATACACACATGTTTACACAAACATATATACACACACATATACACACACACATAGATATACACACAAATATATACACACATTTGTATACACAAACATATATATATACACATAAATACACTAAAATTATACACACTAAAAAAATTGTCCACTCACCTTTGGCCCTCGGCGGGTGGTTATCTCTCTCTATCTGTGGGTGGTTATCTCTCTCTATCTGTGGGTGGTTATCTCTCTATCTGTGGGTGGTTATCTCTCTATCTGTGGGTGGTTATCCCTCTCTATCTGTGGGTGGTTATCCCTCTCTATCTGTGGGTGGTTATCCCTCTCTATCTGTGGGTGGTTATCTCTCTCTATCTGTGGGTGGTTATCTCTCTCTATCTGTGGGTGGTTATCCCTCTCTATCTGTGGGTGGTTATCTCTCTCTATCTGTGGGTGGTTATCCCTCTCTATCTGTGGGTGGTTATCTCTCTCTATCTGTGGGCGGTTATCCCTCTCTATCTGTGGGTGGTTATCCCTCTCTATCTGTGGGTGGTTATCTCTCTCTATCTGTGGGTGGTTATCCCTCTCTATCTGTGGGTGGTTATCTCTCTCTATCTGTGGGTGGTTATCCCTCTCTATCTGTGGGTGGTTATCCCTCTCTATCTGTGGGTGGTTATCTCTCTCTATCTGTGGGTGGTTATCTCTCTCTATCTGTGGGTGGTTATCTCTCTATCTGTGGGTGGTTATCTCTCTCTATCTGTGGGTGGTTATCCCTCTCTATCTGTGGGTGGTTATCTCTCTCTATCTGTGGGTGGTTATCCCTCTCTATCTGTGGGTGGTTATCCCTCTCTATCTGTGGGTGGTTATCCCTCTCTATCTGTGGGTGGTTATCTCTCTCTATCTGTGGGTGGTTATCTCTCTCTATCTGTGGGTGGTTATCTCTCTCTATCTGTGGGCGGTTATCCCTCTCTATCTGTGGGTGGTTATCCCTCTCTATCTGTGGGCGGTTATCCCTCTCTATCCGTGGGTGGTTATCCCTCTCTATCTGTGGGTGGTTATCTCTCTCTATCTGTGGGTGGTTATCTCTCTCTATCTGTGGGTGGTTATCTCTCTATCTGTGGGTGGTTATCCCTCTCTATCTGTGGGTGGTTATCCCTCTCTATCTGTGGGCGGTTATCTCTCTCTATCTGTGGGCGGTTATCCCTCTCTATCTGTGGGCAGTTATCTCTCTCTATCTGTGGGTGGTTATCTCTCTATCTGTGGGTGGTTATCCCTCTATCTGTGGGTGGTTATCTCTCTCTATCTGTGGGTGGTTATCCCTCTATCTGTGGGTGGTTATCCCTCTATCTGTGGGTGGTTATCTCTCTCTATCTGTGGGTGGTTATCTCTCTCTATCTGTGGGTGGTTATCCCTCTCTATCTGTGGGTGGTTATCCCTCTCTATCTGTGGGCGGTTATCCCTCTCTATCCGTGGGTGGTTATCTCTCTCTATCTGTGGGTGGTTATCCCTCTCTATCTGTGGGCGGTTATTCCCTCTCTATCTGTGGGGTGTTATCTCTCTCTATCTGTGGGTGGTTATCTCTCTATCTGTGGGTGGTTATCTCTCTCTATCTGTGGGGGTTATCCTCTCTATCTGTGGGTGGTTATCTCTCTCTATCTGTGGGTGGTTATCTCTCTATCTGTGGGTGGTTATCCCTCTCTATCTGTGGGTGGTTATCTCTCTCTATCTGTGGGTGGTTATCTCTCTATCTGTGGGTGGTTATCTCTCTATCTGTGGGTGGTTATCTCTCTCTATCTGTGGGTGGTTATCTCTCTCTATCTGTGGGCGGTTATCCCTCTCTATCCGTGGGTGGTTATCCCTCTCTATCTGTGGGTGGTTATCTCTCTCTATCTGTGGGTGGTTATCTCTCTCTATCTGTGGGTGGTTATCCCTCTATCTGTGGGTGGTTATCTCTCTCTATCTGTGGGTGGTTATCTCTCTCTATCTGTGGGTGGTTATCTCTCTCTATCTGTGGGTGGTTATCCCTCTCTATCTGTGGGTGGTTATCCCTCTCTATCTGTGGGTGGTTATCCCTCTCTATCTGTGGGTGGTTATCTCTCTCTATCTGTGGGCGGTTATCCCTCTCTATCTGTGGGTGGTTATCTCTCTATCTGTGGGTGGTTATCCCTCTCTATCTGTGGGTGGTTATCTCTCTCTATCTGTGGTTGGTTATCTCTCTCTATCTGTGGGTGGTTATCTCTCTCTATCTGTGGTTGGTTATCTCTCTCTATCTGTGGGTGGTTATCCCTCTCTATCTGTGGGTGGTTATCCCTCTCTATCTGTGGGTGGTTATCCCTCTCTATCTGTGGGCGGTTATCCCTCTCTATCTGTGGGTGGTTATCTCTCTCTATCTGTGGGTGGTTATCCCTCTCTATCTGTGGTTGGTTATCTCTCTCTATCTGTGGGTGGTTATCTCTCTCTATCTGTGGGTGGTTATCCCTCTCTATCTGTGGGTGGTTATCCCTCTCTATCTGTGGGTGGTTATCTCTCTCTATCTGTGGGTGGTTATCCCTCTCTATCTGTGGGTGGTTATCTCTCTCTATCTGTGGGTGGTTATCCCTCTCTATCTGTGGTTGGTTATCTCTCTCTATCTGTGGGTGGTTATCCCTCTCTATCTGTGGGTGGTTATCCCTCTATCTGTGGGTGGTTATCCCTCTCTATCTGTGGGTGGTTATCCCTCTCTATCTGTGGGTGGTTATCCCTCTCTATCTGTGGGTGGTTATCTCTCTCTATCTGTGGGTGGTTATCCCTCTCTATCTGTGGGTGGTTATCCCTCTCTATCTGTGGGTGGTTATCCCTCTCTATCTGTGGGTGGTTATCCCTCTCTATCTGTGGGTGGTTATCCCTCTCTATCTGTGGGTGGTTATCCCTCTCTATCTGTGGGTGGTTATCCCTCTCTATCTGTGGTTGGTTATCTCTCTCTATCTGTGGGTGGTTATCCCTCTCTATCTGTGGGTGGTTATCCCTCTCTATCTGTGGGTGGTTATCCCTCTCTATCTGTGGGTGGTTATCTCTCTCTATCTGTGGGTGGTTATCCCTCTCTATCTGTGGGTGGTTATCTCTCTCTATCTGTGGGTGGTTATCTCTCTCTATCTGTGGGTGGTTATCCCTCTCTATCTGTGGGTGGTTATCCCTCTCTATCTGTGGGTGGTTATCTCTCTCTATCTGTGGGTGGTTATCTCTCTCTATCTGTGGGTGGTTATCTCTCTCTATCTGTGGGTGGTTATCTCTCTCTATCTGTGGGTGGTTATCTCTCTCTATCTGTGGGTGGTTATCTCTCTCTATCTGTGGGTGGTTATCTCTCTCTATCTGTGGGTGGTTATCTCTCTCTATCTGTGGGTGGTTATCTCTCTCTATCTGTGGGTGGTTATCTCTCTCTATCTGTGGGTGGTTATCTCTCTCTATCTGTGGGTGGTTATCTCTCTCTATCTGTGGGTGGTTATCTCTCTCTATCTGTGGGTGGTTATCTCTCTCTATCTGTGGGTGGTTATCTCTCTCTATCTGTGGGTGGTTATCCCTCTCTATCTGTGGGTGGTTATCTCTCTCTATCTGTGGGTGGTTATCTCTCTCTATCTGTGGGTGGTTATCTCTCTCTATCTGTGGGTGGTTATCTCTCTCTATCTGTGGGTGGTTATCCTCTTATCTGTGGGGTTATCCCTCTCTATCTGTGGGTGGTTATCCCTCTCTATCTGTGGGTGGTTATCCCTCTCTATCTGTGGGTGGTTATCTCTCTCTATCTGTGGGTGGTTATCTCCTCTCTATCTGTGGGTGGTTATCTCTCTCTATCTGTGGGTGGTTATCCCTCTCTATCTGTGGGTGGTTATCTCTCTCTATCTGTGGGCGGTTATCTCTCTATCTGTGGGTGGTTATCTCTCTCTCTATCTGTGGGTGGTTATCTCTCTATCTGTGGGTGGTTATCTCTCTATCTGTGGGTGGTTATCTCTCTATCTGTGGGTGGTTATCTCTCTCTATCTGTGGGCGGTTATCTCTCTATCTGTGGGTGGTTATCTCTCTCTATCTGTGGGTGGTTATCTCTCTCTATCTGTGGGTGGTTATCTCTCTCTATCTGTGGGTGGTTATCCCTCTCTATCTGTGGGTGGTTATCTCTCTCTACACTATACACACAACTATACACACAATTATACACACAACTATACACACAATTATACACACAACTGTGCACACAATTATACACACAACTATGCACACAATTATACACACAATTATACACACAATTATACACACAATTATACACACAATTATACACACAACTATACACACAATTATACACACAACTATACACACAATTATACACACAACTATGCACACAATTATACACACAACTATACACACAATTATACACACAATTATACACACAATTATACACACAACTATACACACATCTATGCACACAACTATACACACAATTATACACACAACTGTGCACACAATTATACACACAACTGTGCACACAATTATACACACAACTATACACACAACTATGCACACAACTATACACACAATTATACACACAACTATGCACACAATTATACACACAACTATACACACAATTATACACACAACTGTGCACACAAGTATACACACAACTGTGCACACAAGTATACACACAACTATGCACACAATTATACACACAACTGTGCACACAAGTATACACACAACTATGCACACAATTATACACACAACTATACACACAATTATACACACAACTATACACACAATTATACACACAACTGTGCACACAAGTATACACACAACTATGCACACAATTATACACACAACTATACACACAATTATACACACAACTATACACAAAACTATGCACACAATTATACACACAACTATACACACAATTATACACACAACTATACACACAATTATACACACAACTATGCACACAATTATACACACAACTATACACACAATTATACACACAACTATACACACAACTATACACACAATTATACACACAATTATACACACAACTATACACACAATTATACACACAACTATACACACAATTATACACACAACTATGCACACAATTATACACACAACTGTGCACACAACTGTACACTCTACACACAGGACTATACACATCACACACACAACTACACACACACAACATATAAGTACATATACAATTACAACACACACACAAGTACACACACCAAAACACACAACTATACACACCAGACACAAACAAGTACAAAAACCATGTTTTAGTTTGTTCTGATCAGTACTAACTCTGTGTGCGTCTGTGTGTCTGTGTGTGTGTGTCTGTGTGTCTGTGTGTCTGTGTGTGTGTGTGTGTGTGTGTGTCTCTCTCTGTGTGTGTGTGTGTGTGTGTGTCTCTGTGTGTGTGTGTGTGTGTGTGTGTGTGTGTATGTGTCTGTACTTGTTTTCAACTCCTGGTGGGTTCCATAACCTGAGATTCCACTCACGTCATGGGGACTGGTTTTACGTGGTGGGGCCCGAACACCGGACCCCACTGGTCCAAGCTTAATAATCAATGGGTAATGCTTTTCTAACGGTCCTTATGCAGTCTCTGTAAAAATATGGAAAGGACCCCTGGAGGTTTACTTTCCTGAAAAAAGTGTGTTATGTGTCGGAACCCTGGTGGTGGGTTGCGGGATATCAAGGAGGGGCACACTGGGGCAAATTTCAGTCCAGCAGCTGGAGCCAATCATGGAGCAGCACAACTTTCTTGGAGCCAATCATGAGCAGCACAACAGAGCTGGGAGCCAATCATGGAGCAGCACAACAGAGGCTGGAGCCAATCATGGAGCAGCACAACAGAGGCTGGAGCACTTGAATATTTACAAAACAAAACAAAACAAAACCCAATCATCGGAGCAGCACAGACAGAGGGCCTCTCTTAGTCCCAAAAGGTAAACAGTTCTAGGATCCAGAGGGAAGGAAAATAGCTCCCCGGCCCAACCCTCGTAATGTAGGAGGTGGTGGGAGTGAGCGAGTGCCTACAGCGTGTCCTACCGCAGCAGACGTGAAGGCTGATCAAAACACACAGGTAACTGTAGGATGGCTGCTGGCAGTACTCTCACGGCAAGTCGCCAATGGCAATAAGCAGTCTCCTAAGCCTGGCCTGTGTACAAAATATGCATGCATAAATATTCCCTTATCTACCAGGTGAATACATTAAATAACCATGGGTTGTTCATGACAGTAAAAGTTCACTCATTTACGACATTAAACAGGTACCTTAACACAATTCATAGAGTGAGGCATACACTTATAGTTTAGCTGATTTAGCTTAATAAAAATCTCACATAGCAATAAATGCCAGCACTGGATAGCATTTTGCGCCAGTTAGCATTAGCATAACAATAACATTGCACTCACCGATTCCTTCTTCACACACACACATATACGCAGCAAAGACAACTTTGCGGTCACATGAATCTGTAAAAGGTTGGGAGGACAACGTTTTAGGAACTGATCTTTGATTTGGCAGAGGTAGCGAGTTAGAGGGGTAAATGTTTACCTGTAGCAGCTCTTAATGCAGCATCTCCCACACACCTAACCACAAATGCTAAGCAGCCGGCTATATTCAAAATGGCGGCGCGCAAATCTCAGACCCAAAGTCTCGCCCCAAGTCTTGCGAGACTTGACAAAACATTTCATTTCACAGGTAAAAACATGATTTTAAATGTAATGATATTTTAAATTACATGAACAATATCATTCTTAAAATATTTCTTAAAAAGTATATCAAAATATATCTGGGTTACATCAGTGCTTTGATGGTATATGTCAGTGCTTTGATGGTATATGTCAGTGTTTTGATGGTATATGTCAGTGCTTTGATGGTACTGTATATGTCAGTGTTTTGATGGTATATGTCAGTGTTTTGATGGTATATGTCAGTGTTTTGATGGTATATGTCAGTGTTTTGATGGTATATGTCAGTGTTTTGATGGTATATGTCAGTGCTTTGATGGTATATGTCAGTGTTTTGATGGTATATGTCAGTGTTTTGATGGTATATGTCAGTGTGTTGATGGTATATGTCAGTGTTTTGATGGTATATGTCAATGTTTTGATGGTATATGTCAGTGTTTTGATGGTATATGTCAGTGTTTTGATGGTATATGTCAGTGTTTTGATGGTATATGTCAGTGCTTTGATGGTATATGTCAGTGTTTTGATGGTATATGTCAGTGTTTTGATGGTATATGTCAGTGTTTTGATGGTATATGTCAGTGCTTTGATGGTACTGTATATGTCAGTGTTTTGATGGTATATGTCAGTGTTTTGATGGTATATGTCAGTGTTTTGATGGTATATGTCAGTGTGTTGATGGTATATGTCAATGTTTTGATGGTATATGTCAGTATTTTGATGGTATATGTCAGTGTGTTGATGGTATATGTCAGTGTTTTGATGGTATATGTCAGTATTTTGATGGTATATGTCAGTGTGTTGATGGTATATGTCAGTATTTTGATGGTATATGTCAGTGTGTTGATGGTATATGTCAGTGCTTTGATGGTATCTGTCAGACGCACCTGTTCCATGACCTCTGGTGCCATCCAACAGGGCGTTCCCACAAACGTCTTTCTGACCTTATGTCGGGTCATGTCTCCTCCTGCGGCGAGGAACGCACTCACTCCAAAGTCTGAACAATGAAACAACAAACATTATTAAAACACTGAAGCTCAGGTCCAGGACTAGAACCAGGAAGTACCATCACATTAGTCCTGGTCTCAGGTCTCTCTATGGCCTCGTACCAAACTACTGTAATGACAGTTTTTAGAGTAATTACATTAAAACCAGCCGCAGCAAATACACGGACGTAAAAGGCCTTTTATCAATGCAGAGACGACCTTCTGACGCCATGCTGAGCTTTGTGAAGGTCTCTGCTGTCTGTCACACCCTTGTGTCTTTCGCATCTTGCATCTGTATGCCTGCATTTCTACCATTGTCTGTCTGTTCACACCCCCATGCCACTGTGTCTGATTGCCTCACCACGGGGATGGCGCCTCCCTATGCGCCTCCTTCACCGGTGGCCCCCTCCCATCTGTTGTGGGCGTGACTGTCTTTATGTGTTGTCTATGTAAACAGGAAGCTGAGCTCTGCGCGGCAGAGCTTGGGTATGCAGCCTTTGTATATGTTAGCTCTCCGCACGTGTGTTACAATAAACTTACGCTCCTGAATTAAGACAAAGACCTTTGAGCTTTCTCCTTCATTGGGGTATGTAATTCTACAACAATTTGGCGTTGCTGACATGTCTTGGCATGGATACTTTCGGCGGGGACGAGCGGCCGCGTTTGGCCGACCTGGAACAACACCAGCCTCTGCTCTATTTGGAGACAAAGGAGGGCGCGCTCGTCCCGCGCATGGAAGGAATCTTTTGCCACACAAGACCAAAAAGAACCTAATTTGGTGAGTTTTGTCTTTTCATCTGCGTAACGAGCCCAGGGCAGCACTTAAGTGTACACGGGGATTTGTTTATTTATGTATTTTTGGGGTATTTCATTCATTGCCACAGCATAGACTGTGTGCGGGATTTTTGGGGTCTTTTGTTCTAGATTGAAGCTAGCGGCTGCGCGTTAGTAATCGCTCTGTAAGCGACCCTGATAATTTCTCTAAGTGTCTTCAGCCAGGCCCGCTCCGTTTCAAGAACGCGCGCTCGTTGGTTGAACCAGCGGGGGGGGAACGGAGCGCCCCAAAGTGGGTAAGAGCAGGGAAGAGACTAAGCGGGTTAGGTCCATTGTTCGTACGAGAAAATGGGGAAAAATCAATCTAGAGATGCAAGCTATGGAGTGCTTGCCTATGGTGCAGGTCATCTGGCTTTTTCCGATGGAGGCTATATGTCTCCGAATCAATTACGCATCTTGCGTGATAATTTAGAAGAAGAAGGGAAGAAAAAATATACTTGGTTTTAAGAATATCACGGCAAAAGACGTTAGAGAAAGAAATATGTAAAAACAATAGCTCCTCCGCTTTTCACCGAAGCGGAGAACACACAGGCGGACACACACACACACACACACCCCCACACCCCCACCCTACCGCCCTTTTTCCCCTACTAACAATAAGTGTGCACCCAAACAAGGCGTTGGGTTTTTTTTAAAAAAATGAGCAGACTACTGTTGTCCCTTTTTCCTCTCCCTGTCCAGGTCTGTCGGCGCTTTTCCTCCGCGCTCTGTCCTCTGCCTCAAAGCCCCAGCCCCACGCCCCAACCACGGCGGCGCTCGCACCAGCTGAGACCCCGCGAGAAGTGGGCCCAAACCCGGGAGCAGAAGAAGAAGTGGCGGAAGCAGATACACGCTCAGGAAACCGCAGAAGAAGAAGTGGCGGAAGCAGATACACGCTCAGGAAACCGCAGAAGAAGAAGTGGCGGAAGCAGATACACGCTCAGGAAACCGCAGAAGAAGAAGCGGGGGAAGCAGATATGTGAGACACCGACAACTGCTTTGGAGGCCAGAGACAAACTGCTCCAAATCCCGTGACTGTTCCCCACGGAGGCGGCAGCGTGATACACAAAACGCACCCGCTGAAACCCCGTTGAAAGTTGCCCCCGCACCGCAAACAGAAGAAGCCAAAAGTACCGGCACGTTTGGTTATTCACCAACCCTCATGGACCACAGGCTAACGCTTTGGGCTACCTGGGCCTCCTGCGGACTTTGAGAAACTTCCACAGCCCGGCGGAAAGACTGTGTGCTCGACATGGGTCGAAGGACTGTCACCGGAGGAGGCGTTAAAGGCAGAGGAACGCTCAAGCTCACACGGGGCCAGAGGACGGCAGAGGCGGGCGTGGAGGAAACACGAGCGACTGATCAAACCCGGGTTCACATTCGTCACCAAAGCGACCGCTCATGTAAGTTTGAACAACAACAAATTGCAATTGGCACTTTTTAGAGATAATTCATGCTGAATTCCCGTAATATACGCTAACAATCTGTGGTGTAAAAGTTAAAATTCTGGATGACTCCGGGGCAACAAATTCTGTGCTAAAAAGTGACAGCCTTTCTGTCTCCCCTAAAATGAGCGGCCGTTTCACATTCTCATTAGCAGCGGGGGGAGAGACGACTAAAGAGCAATTTACGTCACCGCTAACGTGTTTTGATTCTCAGGGCAACCAGCTTAAACATTCTTTTCTATATTCCCCATTGTGCCCGGTTAATCTACTAGGCCGAGACCTTATGTGCAGACTCAATTGCACATAAGGCTCTTGCACATGCACATGGCTCTCTTCTCCTGCTCTCCTCGAGGTCAGACGTGTCTCTCCCCTGCTCCTGCTGCTTGCCCTGACTGTCTTTTTTTCCTAGAGTTCTGCCTGTGTACAACTTGAAAAATGATGGAATTAATCAACTGGTCTCTCAACGCAATTGATACTATTTTTTCATCACGTAAAGGCGGTTCTGGAGATGCCGTCTGCCCGGACGGTACGGCGGCTGCTGGGTACGTTTTTGACAACTGGCAAAAGTGGCTCCCCGTCTGTCTGTCGGGACTGTCCATCGAGGACATTGAGGATATATACATTTTTGGATTTATGGTAGCAGGGTTCCTCCTGATTGGATTTGGAGTTGGCTTGATCTACCACAAAGTTGGAGGGCTGTCCACTCAGAAGATTTACGAGCGGCTGTCCGCGGAAAACAAGGAGAGTTTCCGCGAGTTGGTCAGAGTCGTGGTCGAGGGCACAGTGGGGACACAACGGGGTGTGAGTCGGATCGAACATTCCCTTTCAGATCTGGGAGTGAGATCTTTGGATGGACTTAAACGAGTGGAAGGATTGATTGAAGGACTCGGGCCTCACGGTTGAACCTCGTACTGACGTGGTCAACTCCGGATAACTGTGAACGGAGGGTCCAGTTCCAGTATAATTTGGACATATTGGCTTTAGTTTACACTGCCTTTCATTGAATCAGCTAAAGTGCTTATACAAATTTCCCACAAGGCATGTGTTGTTTTGTCTCCAATGTTTGCAGGCACCTGCGCTATCTTTGTCCTTCACATTCCACATTCCTGCTACCCGGCCACTCAAGGCCGACACTGGACTCTTTCTACTCATACTCACAACCCAGAACACCAGTTACAGTCCCCCCCGCCTTCTACATGTCTGCCTCCCCCCCTCTTTTCAGTCTTCGGTGGTCTTCCCCTCCACCTCCCCCACCCACACTCCCCTCTGACGCGCTATATTGGACGAGGCGGGCCAGAGTGATGACTTCCCTTCAAAAAGATCCGCATGTTTACCACATGTACCGTGTCTCTCCCATGTTTGTTGAAATATGTGTCTGTTTTGCTCTCTGCTGTTGTATAACTGTCATATTCTACTGTTTGTAGCATGGCGCCGGAATCGATGGCGCCGTGGCAAGAGCTCTGGTGTGTGTCGTCTGTCTGGCGCACACCGGGGTAGTCTTGCACAGTTTTCCAATGTGGTTTTACTGCAAATGGCAAATAAATGAATCTGAATCTGAATCTGGATCCCGTTCTACGTCATGGTGCTACGTCCCTTAGGACTTCGCTAGTGGGATATCACTCGTGACCCCCAGGTCACACGCCAGAGAGATCAAAATAATTTGCTCCAATCACCAGCCACCCTTCTCTATAAATGCCCCTGCACAAGGCCGCACCCCCTCTTTCACTCTGGCGCCGTTTGAGATCTACCACAGTACTTACTTCATTCTGAGATGTCTTCCTTGTTCGTCCGAGTTCCCTTCGCCCTCCGGCGTCGGACGTTGTCGCTGGATCCAGACGGTGGAGGACTTCACCTCTGTGGGCGCCACCACTCGAGGAAGGAGGAGGATGCAACCCACGTTGTGCCCGCGGATGGACCCGTTCGTCCATTACGCGACACGTGAGTGGCCTAAGCCCCTAGCAGCCAAGAGGCCTGCTCTGGGGTACGACATGTACTGCAGCGGGCAGGACTGGTCCTGGACCGGTGATCGAGGATTCAGTCCGCATGGCCCTGCAGCCCTCCGCATCCGTGTGGCCCGGCACCAGACCTCTCCTTCCCTCCGAGCGGGACAGGATGTCTTGGCGATGCTGGATAGATGTTATGCCATTGCAGCGCAGGTCGTCGCATTGACTAACAACATGACTTTCATCACGGGGGCCCTGGATATGTTGCTCTCTTCTGACCAGGCGCTCAGTGGAGACCTCCTGTCACAGGCGAGGACCACCTCGGCGGCGATCCTGCGCATGTGCCAGACGCTAGCTGTGGATGGTGGCCGCTCCATGGCAGCAGCCCAAGTCGGGGCCACGCACCTTTGGCTTGGGCTGGCTAATATCAGGGAGGCGGAGAGGAGGCAGCTGCTGGACCTGCCCATCTCTCAGACGTCCCTCTTCGGCCCGGACATGCAAGCCTTGGTGGCGAGACTGGAGTCTGCAGCTAAAGACTCGGCTAGGCTAGCCCCGCACCTAGCACCGAGGCGCGAGGCCCACCAGCCATCACAGAGCCGGGACAGAGGTCGAGAGCGTTCGCCCGGGAGGCATCCTGACCCGTATCCGCGCTCTGTTGTCCATCGTCCCCCCTCAACGAGGCCCCCGGGTCCAGACAGACCCATGGGTGGCTCGCGGGAGCAACGCACCCACCACCGACCTCCCTATGGCAGAGGAGGTCGGGGTGGAAAGT